TTCCTTCCAGCCCTTCTCTGAAGCCCCCACCCCCACAAGGCTGGCCTGGACCAGGTGACTGCCTGTCCTCTGGCGATTCACTCTTGTGATCACTTCTCCAGGGAACGCCGCTACAGATAACACCGTCCTGGAACACATTTCAGAAGTTCCTTTATTGGCACTCTGAGAATTTTCTCTTTAAAAAACTCAAATAGCTGGATTTAAGATTAAAATATGAAAAGTGCTTTATTTTAAAGCAGGAAAGTTGCATCATTGGGAAGGAGGGTGATTTCCACATTTGGTTAAGCATCACCCTGGCTTTGATGGTGACAGTCATGTTGTCCTTGCTCCTTGGCTGTGGAAGGATCTGCTGTCTTCTGTTCAGACCTGGTAGAGCTGGCTGTGTCTGGGAGAAGCCTCCACCATGCCCATTCCCTCGGGTTCTGGGCAGTTGGTGCCCACTGGTGGTCCGCTATGTGGGTGGGCACATCTGGGAATGGTGCCACAGGCCCCCTGGGTGGCCAGAGGGGTGGATGCTCTCATGTGTCGATCACTGTCACCAGAACTGCCTGAGCCACGGGGAGCAGGGCCGCATCTCAGCCTGTCAGAGCTTTGGAGCTGTCAGCCGTGGCAGCTGCCGCCTCTCACCCCATGTGCTGACGCCCGCCTGCAGAACGCGGCCTGGTCTGCGCGTCTGTCTTCTGTCAGGCACACACAGCAGGAAAGCTGGTGTCTGCTCTTGCACACATGTGCATACAACACGCACATGCCTGCACACGCCTGCACCCATCCGGGAACCCGCCACCCCCTGACCCCCACCTGCCTCGTGCAACCTGCGCAGGGCCTCAGGACCTGCACAAGTTCAGATGAGCCCCTGCTCAGAGGGAAGCTAGGAGCCACCGATCCTCTCAGTGCCGACCTCTCTGTTTGAACCCCTATTGCCCCATCTGTGGTGACAAGAGTCTAATTATTACTGGCCTTGCTTTTGATAAAGGAAGAAGAGGGCATTCTTCATCACGTCAGTGAGGGGCATCGTCTCCTGTCGGTGCAAAGGGTGGGCTGGCGGACAGGTACCGCAGAGCCGTCCGGGGCCCTCAGACAGCCGGGTGGGCGAGGACGGGTGGGCGCTGACGCAGGAGCGGAGAAGGAGGGAGGGCCGAGAGGGTATCCCTGAGGTGTTAGCCCTGGAAGTGACTGAGTGACTCACCTCACGTGGAACTGCTGACCCTGTCGCTGAGGTCAGAGGTCCGGGCCATCCTAGACAGTTCCCTTCCGCAAGCTGATCCCTTTTCATAAGCAGGTTTGCGCCTGCAGCTGTCCCGGGCCCATCTTCCCCCTCACGCTGCCACTGCTCCCTGGCCCAGGCCCTGGTCTTTCTTCCGTGGCCCCTGAGCAAAGCTTCCACGGAGGACCTGGCTCTCACCCTGTCCCCTCAAGGCGCTGCCCATGCTGCAAACGGGACGGGTCCCTCAGAGGCTTACGGGTTCCAGCTATGCCCAAGTCACCACCCCCTGCCCCTGCCCGGAGCCTCACACAGTGACGCGCAGGTCCTTTGCCTGAGATGCTCTTCTGCCCTGAGTCCAGTGAGGTCACCACCCACCTCCACAGCACCTCTTCCAGGAAGCCCTCCCTGAGCCCTGGGGCTGGATGGCTCCTAAATCTGTGCTCCACTGTGACGGAGTGGAATACATGTGCCCTGGGGTCCTGGGCAGTTGGTGCCCATTGGTGGCAATGATCTGTTTCCGTGTCTTTAGCCGTGAGCTTCTTAGGACAGTGGCGGGTCTTACTCATCTCGGTGCCCCCATCCTCAGCGCAGGCTCTTGCAGGTGGGAGGAGCCCAGTGCGCACTGGTCATAGCCGGGTCTCATGAGGGAATGGGCAGGTGGGTTGCTCGCAGAAGGCTGAGGCGCTGGCAGACAGACCAGTGCAGTCGACGGGGAGATCTCTGGAGGAGGAGCGGTGGCGTGGAGGCGCTTTCCACGTGCAGGGCCCTGTCTGAGACTAGGGCTGAAACCCATCTGTCTTCACTGCCTTTCCCTCCTCCCCGGGGGGATAGGTAAACATAAGTCTGAATTAGACAGACTGCCTGCCTGTCTACCTGTTCATCCATCTGTCCATCTTTCCCTCCTCTCCTCCATCCATCCACCGACCCATCCGTCCATCTGTCCTTTCGTCCAATATTTATGGAACGTCTGCTTGGGACCAGGCACACTACTACGTCCCCAGAGCCTAAGCTTTTATGGCCAATCAGGACAGGACTCTGGGGCTCTGAGATGCCAAAGCCCCATGTTTCCCCTTGTTCCTTGTCTCCCCTTGAGGTGGGTCTGGAGAGCTGGGGAGACAGAGAGGATGGCCCGGCAGGGTGGGACAGAGTGCAGACCCTGCCTCACTGAGTGGCCACCAGGTACTGCAGACCCACTTTATTTCAGATCAAGATGACAAAAGATCAAAACTGTCTCTAGGGAGAAAAACAATGGCATTAATGTAGTCGGGGAGGAAAACTCACATAGAAGGGGAGTCAGGGCTGATCTGTGCTGTCAGGACCAGATGTGGGTAGAAGATGGGCATCGTTGGAATCCCGTGTGGCTTCTCCAGGGACTTCACGACATTCGTGCTCTCACTTCCTTGTTCTGCAGATGAGTCTCTTTCTGTGCTTCCTCTGGTTTCTGGTCAGTGGGAAGCCTCTCGCCCCCCAGCTCCATCCCATGGGGCCCGTAGGCTGAGTGGGATGCGAGTTTGGTCCCAGGAGCTTGTTTCTGCGCAGGGCAGTGGGGATGTGGTGTGATGCTGCTGGCAGAGGCTGCACAGTGGCCTCAGCCTGCCCTCCCTGGAAACTGTAGCTGGGTAGGGGGCGGTTCTCTGCCCTTCACTGCTGCAGTCCCTGCCAGATCCGGAGCAAGGGCCGAGGGAAGGGAGGCACCGGGCGAAACAGTGGCTCCCAGCCCTGACCAATCCTGAATTCCACAGGGGAGCAAACACAGCTTCCCGGGGGTTTCTGACTCAGCAGTCTCGGCTGCGGCCATCTCTGTGGGCCTGCCCCAAGGGACCATGGCCTGTTTGGTACCTACCTCCAAGGGGTCGTGAGAGCCAGGCTGGCTCTGCTTGTTCAGTGAGAGTGAGGGGAAGATGTCTGAGGAAGAGCAGGAGAGCCCTGACTCCTCCGGGTGTGAGGGGAGGCCAAGGGAGCAGAGGCGGAAGGTTTCCGGAAAGCACTTGCAGTTAAGATGGGGAGCCTGGGCCCCCTCCGCCTCGCCCCAGCGCCATAGACAGGGCCCGCAGGTCGTACAGAACAGAGGCGTGTCCCTGGTGGCCTGTGCTAGGGTAGGGAGAGTTCAGGGGCCGAGCAGATGGGCCTTCCTGGCATAGTCCCTGCAGCTGTGTCTCTGCTGATCATCACACCTTTGGTACATGCCACACTCCCCCTAGAGAACAACAGGATGGATCCTGGGATCCCTGCCCCATCCCATATCACCTTCTCGCTTGTGGGACACTTGGAGGGAGCAAGAGGATAGGATCACGAGTATGACTGCCCTCATTCCAGCCCCAGCCTGCCTGCCCACCTGCGTGCCCTTGGGAGAACCTCAGCTTTTCTGAACCACTGTTTCCTCATCCTGCAAATGGGCCTGACAGAGATCTCCCACCAGGACTGGGCCCTGAGCCCGGAGGGGTGCTCTGAGCTGCGGCCTCCCAGCAGGGTGCCTTCCCAGCTGTCATAGCTCCTCCCCATCTCACCTCCTCCATGGTCACCGTGGAGGGCCCTGCACCTCCAGCACCAGGGCCACCCTGCTATTTTTATCGGCCACTGGTTAATCTGTAGCCTTGTGTAGGCCCTGGCCAGCCCCTCGGAGCAGTTTTGCCATGTAGTGTTGCCAGCGTGAACTCACATGGTGACCTCAGTCCAATGGAACTGCCCGCCAGGCAGACAGGCTCATGGAATTCCAGTTTCCAGTAAAAAGAGCGTATTCTTGTAATTCGCAGGAACTTTAAAATGGCTAATGTAAGCATCAGCAGTAGGGATTGGGTCAACTTGTTAACATAAAACCCAGTTTGTTTATTTATTGGTGGTATCACTTACAGTGACGTGCACAGATCATGAGCATTCAGCTCTGTGACTCTTTACACGCCTGCTTTGTAGCCACCTCCTGGACCAAAAAATAAAGCGCTCCCATGCCCCAGAAGCTTCCCTCGTGCCCCCTCCCGGTTCCCCACAGCAGGGTCTGGCCCAGAGCAGGACCTCCTCAGCCAGTGGGCAAGCGCGGGGTGGCAGGATCCGGGGTGGCAGAGCCCAGGGGGTCTCTGAGTCCCAGAGGGGCTTCCTGCAGGAGGGGGCTGCTCCGTGGAACTTAAGTATTTGCTAGACCTGTGGTGGTTACACCATTCAAGGTAAACAAAAGGACACTCACCAAGGCCCCAGCCCTGAGGTGTGTGGCCTCCGACTGCGTCCCCCCATTTCCGAGTGGCTGTGGAGCGTGCTTCTCTGAGCCCGGCCCCCGAGTGCCAAGCCCAGGTGGCCGCCTCCACCCTGGGGAGAAGAGCACGTTCTCTGGCCTGTGCTACGCAGCAGGCCCGAGGCCTGAGTGGGCTTTAGGGGCTGGAGTTGTCTGGCAGCCAGTGTCTAGGCCAGGCGACCACCTGCTCCTCCTGTCAGTGGTCATTTCCCAGGCACAGGGCACAGCCACCTGCAGTGGCAGGAGTCTCACTCTCCATTGCGGGGTCACCGGGAAAGCTGCTCCTCTCAACTCCCTCCGCCGGCCTGGTTTCCTCCCTGGGAAGGGAAACCTGTTCTTCCCTTTGCCTGGTGTCAGGCTGTTAGAGCTTTTGGAACAACTTTGGGTGGTCCGCTCACGTGGACTGCTGTGGTGGGCCACTCCAGGCCTCCCCGAGGCCCCTCCTGGCCTGGTCTTCTCTGGCCCTTGGCGTCCAGCCGGCCTCTGGCAGGACCCAGCCCTGTGTGAGTCACCCAGGCCACCTGAACCCTCTTGAGAAGTCTTCAGCCTTGTATTTTGTCTGTGATTGTTCAGCTCCAAGAAGCCCAAGCAACAGCCTAAAGTGGCCGTGAAGCCCAGGCCCTCGCCGCGGCTCACCATCTTTGACGAGGAGGTGGACCCTGACGAGAAGCTATTTGGCCCGGGCAGGAAGCTCTCCCCACAGGGCCCCGCACAGGATGCGCCTCCCACAGACCGTAAGTAGGCCCTCAGGGTGTGAGCCTTCTGTTACTGGTGTGCTCTTGACGGCCAGCCTATGTCACCGAGTGGGCTTTGGACCCACCGTGTGTGAATAGGACACACATCTTCCCCTTGTCCTGCTTAGGCGTGATACAGACTCAGGTTACGGAGGTTTTCTGCAGGAGAAATAGAGCCTCATGCTTGGTCCCCATGGCCTGGAACATTCCCTGGCTGTATGTTTATTCTAAACATCCCACAGAAGAAGAGGGCAGCTTTCTTTGTTGTTTTGAGAAGTGCCTTCATCATATCTGTGGCCAGATGTGGGGCCTGGGCCCTCCAGGCACCGTTGGGTGTGAAGGGGGTGCTGGCCTTCCTTGGGCTGCGTGCAGCTCTGTAGCTTAGATTCTAATGAGAGTTTGTGTCGCCCGCATAGACTGCCCTGGAGGGCCCTGTGCAGAGGAGGCAAAAAAGACGCCTAGGAGCCTTGGGACTTCTCCTCCGTCCTGGCTCTGACCTTCCCTCACGCCTGCCCAGGTCCTCCCTCGGGGAAGTTGCCGTGACCACTAATTCAGCCAGCACTTGCTGAGCAACCACCCAGGGCCAGGCCCAAGGACAGGCTGAGGAGTCCCCGTCTGCAGGGCCTCAGAGTAGTATAAGTCTGTGGCGGGGCCGAGCAGAAGCGTCAGCTCTCGGGGACTCCTGGGAAGACCCAGGGTGGGTCGTGGGCTCCACTTGATTTGGATCCTGGAAGGTCAGCTGGAGTTTGCCAGGCCGGCTCGAGAAATATACCCATCCCAGGAACAGAGGCCACCGTCTGTGTCCTCAAAGGGCAGCCTTGCACAGTTCAGCCAGGAGAGCCTGTGGGGAGGAGACCCAGGCTCCCCGAGGGCAGTGGCTGTGGCCAGAGCAGTGTCTGCTCACCACTGTGTCCCAGCACAGTGTGGCCCTGTCCGGTGGGCAGCACTCGGTAAGTGCACGGGGAGCGAGCTAGGAGATCCAGCTGGCCTGGACCTCAGGAGCCTGGCGCATCGAGCCCAAGAAGCTGAGACCTCCTCAAGGCAGTGGGAAGCCCTCGAGGACTTGAAACTGGGGTGAGGCTGTCAGCTGACTGGCCCAGGTGCTGGGAGGGTGAGGCTGTGACAGACCCCTGACCCAGGCCATCAGTGAGCTCCTGTCCTCTTGCCTTCCTCCTGCCCTTACCTGCTCCCATTGCTGTGGTTCTCTGCTCGTCCCTTGCATGCTCTCCCGGGCGTGCGGGAGGCTGGACCAGGCCTTCCCCACCCAGCACCCTGGGCAGCTGAGCAGGCCAGGACTTCCTCTGACCACCTGCCGCCTCCTTTCCTGCAGCCCTGAAGCTGTTTGATGATCCTGACCTTGGCGGCGCCATCCCCCTGGGTGACTCCTTACTGCTGCTGCCAGCCCCCCGTGAGAGTGGAGGGCCCACATCCAGCTCGGGCCACAGGGACACCTCCGAGGAGCTGTTCAGGTACCGCCCGTCAACATCAGCACTTCCCTGGCTCTGAGAGTGGCCGGGACAGGGCCAGGGGCCCACTCCATGTGGCGGCAATTCCCCAGCCTTGACCTCGAAGTGGGGGAACCGGGCCTGTCAGAGGCAGGGCTCTGTGGGCGCGAGCTGGCCAGGAGGCGGTGAGGGGGTTCGGGGGAGACCGGCAGCCCAGGGCAGCTCAGCCGTTCCAGAAAGGAGACTTCACATGCACAACCAGCCTTTTTCTTTTTCGCACTCACATCTCAACAGTTTACATAAGGAATGATGAAGTTATATAATCACAAGGGCAGGTATAACTGGCACAGTTGGGTTTGGGAACAAATAAAACTGCTTCTTGGTAACGCGCAGCCCACCAGGGAGCAGGGCGCAGGTGTCCTGGGCGCCGGCCGGTCTCCAACAGGGTCCGGTCATCGGGCTTTACAGAAGGGAGGGGCCCGAGGCCCCATCCGTCACGTGGAACGTGTGCAAGTGACAGCCCCTATTTCCTGAGCGCTTGCTGCGTGCCAGTTAGCTAGCCTGCTTACACGCCGCCCTATTTAATCCTCACAACAGCCCCCTCAGGTAGGTGCTGTTTTCTCCATTTTGTAGAACATGGAGCGTGGGAAAGGTCACCGCTCCATCGGGGACTCTGAGCGCTTGGCCGTGCGATCTGCCTCCCCACCCCGGCCCCTGGCTCTCCCTGGGCCTCTGTTCCGCCAGCCGCGGTCTCACAAGCTTGGCGTTGTGCCTTTCTGCATCTCCTCCTCAACCCCGGGACACAGGGCTGTGCTTGGTGATTCACGGGAAACCAAGCTGCCTCTTTCCAGGAACCGTTTGTGTGGCACTGAGGCGTGCGGTCCCTGGAGGCTGTCATCTGCACCCCTCGTTAGCAGCCTTGGGCTATCAGCCCTCCGAGTGCCCGCCAAGCCTGAGTCACCGTGACAGCTTCTTGTGTTTACATCTCCCCGAGGCCCCTGGCACCTGCTCACTCGCATCCCATGGCCTCGCTCCTGACATCCCAGCAGGCTGGGAGGAAACCAGGGTTATTGTTATTTCATTAGTGGGGAAACCAAGGCACGGGCCACAGAGTGCTAGAGTCAGCCCGGGGAGTGGCAGGCCCAGGCCGAGCACATGCAGGAGCCCGTGTGTCCCATGGGGCACCTCTCCTGGGGCCTTTCTGGCCTAGTTTGTCCTAAATCCATTACTTCCCACCCCGCGTTCTGCAGAACGTGGTACGGTGGGGCGTCACAGGCTTCCTTCAAAGGGACTCTGTGGCCAGATGGGCCAGGGAATGCCCGCGGTAGGCGGGCCTTCTGCAGGCCTGTGGTGCGGGCAGACACCGCGCAGCACTTCTCGTTCTCACTGGTCCCTGGGACCTTTCCTTTGTAGTGCCGCTAAGCATCCCACAAAGCACTTTGGGAGTCACCACTCAAAGGGTGTGAGTGCTGCGTCGTCCCTTCACAGGTGGGGAAGCGGATGCCTCCCCTTTGGCAGACATCTGCTGTGAAAGCATTAGCTTCCTGAGAGCAGGAGCCACGTTTTGTGGTTTGTCTTGCCTGTGACTGGGCAGTCACTGGGCTTCCGGGTAGTAATGGTGGTCATCATTCATTCATGCTTCCACCCTCCACGCAGCCTGTCTCTGGCCTCAGCTGTCCCGAGGCAGCATGAGGTGGTACACCAAGCAGGGTTTGGAGTCTAGAAGCCTCCATTCCCTCCGCTGGGCACACCCCAAGGCCAGGCCTCCAGTTTCGGTCTTCAGCTGAGTTATGTGCTCTGCAGGGGCCGGGCAGTGGGGCGGGGTCTGCAGAGCTCCTGTGCCCCTTGCTCGCTCCCCTCACACCAGCTGGGGCTGGACGAGAGGGGGAGCTGGCCCTTGTGCTGGCAAGACCCCTTCCTAGCCTCGACTCAGGGAGCCCAGTTTGAGAGAGGGGGTGCTTGGAAAGGGGGTACCTGTGCGGCCACCTACACCCTGAGAGCTGCTGCACTGCCTTCCCCGTGGCTGGCCACCCACACACACCTCCCACCTCGGAGCAAATCCAGCTGCTGATTAGTTCCAAAGAGTCACTGCTTTGCCAAGCAGGATAAGCCTGAAATCTGACGTGAGCTTTTCGCTGCTGCTTTATGTTCCTAAGGGCCCCTGTTTGAGGATAATTCAGTCCCTTTGAGCTTTCCCTGGGTACCCTCAGCCTCCAGTGGAGGACGCAGGGGGAGCCAGCACCTGCCCCACGGCAGTCAAGGAAGGGCTACCACTGGGAAGAAGCTGGGGCACATCTGGGCTGAGGTTGCCAGGAGCAGCCTGTCCATGGGTGAGGCCTCCCGAAATCGCCTCGACCCCAAGGTAGCCGCTCTCTCCAGGAAGGCCTCTCTTGGTCTGGTCCCTCTGGGTCTGGAAGGCAAGGACACCTTTCATTCACTTTTGTGCTCAGCAGACTCTGAGCTCTTTGGGGTCAGTGCCATATTGCAGGTAGACCCAGGAAGCAGGCAGGGCCATCCCGAGCCCCTTCTTCAGCTGGTACCTGGCAGGCAGCCCCTCTGGGGGGCTGTGCTGGGCACCTCCACACCCACGCAGGCCTCTTCCAGGCCTTGGGTGCCAGGGTTTGTTCTGACCAGTGGTACCTGCCCCTCCCCAGCCCTACTGATATCTGAGCTGGATCAACACTCTTGTTCCCGCTGTTGGGATACACTGTCCAGGGCAGCTCCTGAGCCTGCCTGGTTCCTGCTGTCTGTGCTCATTCCCACCCCCGGCCTTTGCTCTCTGTTGCTCCGGTCTCCAGAATTCCCTCCTTCCTTTCCCTAGTTTTGCCAGGCTCATCCTTCTTAAAAGCCCCGTTTCCCAGGGATCCTTCCCAGCCTGCTCTGACCCATGAGCTCACTCCCTTCTCTTGTCCTCAGTAAGCTCTTTGCAGACCTTTGCAATGACGTGGCTCCTGTCTGAGCGGCCGGGCTGGGGGTTCCCTGCATGGAGCATCGAGGAGGCTGCTCCCTGCGTTCTATGTTTTGCTCAGCGCCTGTGGCTGTCAGCAGAGATCAACACAGACAGTGTTCCCTTACGTTTGGAAAAGACTTTCCATTTGTTCTTATTTGATCCTCATAAGAATCCCTATGAGGTTGGCAGAGCAGGAGTAGCCCACTTTACAGATGAGGAAACTGAGGACCAGGGGTGTGGAGTGGCCTGAGGCGCCTGATGAAGGAGTTTTGGAGGTGATGAGTGGGAGCCACTCCTGCTTGTGGTGCCGTGCTGCCCGGCCGGGTGATGCTGTCACTCTTCATTTTGTAGATGAGGACACCGAAGCTTGGAGAGGCCAGGTGCCACCCAGTCTTCCGCCTTCAGTGCCTCTGCCCTCCCCCAGCCTGACCTGGCACGGCCGAATGATCCCGTGGCATTACCCATTAGACACAGGAGAAACCCCACTGTTAGGCGGGAACCTGGGTACCCCAGGAAGGCGAGTCCACCCTGGCGAGCCAGCCACACGGGGGCCGAGGCCTGTTCACGCTCTCGCTGGCTGTGGGGCCTGAGGCAAGGCCCTTTGCCATTCCCTCAGTTTTCACATCTGTGAAATGGAGCTAATCTCTGCCACTAGACAGTGTCTTGAGATTATTAGACGAGTTAATGAACATGGGAATCCCTGGCCGTGACGGACGGTCAGCACAGTGCTGAGTGTGGGCGAGTGTGTGAAGTGGATTGAGCGACTCTCCTGCCGCGCTCTGGTCTCCAGGAATCGAGTTCCTCCATGGGAGCTGGCGGCAGGTCCCCCAACCCCCACCCCACCGCGGCTCAGAGCCGAGTTTATTCTTCCCTCATTGAACTTGATTCGGATGAGGGCTCAGCTCCGTGGGCCGACATCCTGCTTCCTTCCCACTCAGTCACTGCCACATACTGTCCTCTCGGGGCCACTTGGCCTCCTGGGATTCCAGCTTCCCCATCTGCTAGGTGGAAACACAGTTTTACCTCCCAGAGGGTGTTCTGAGGATGAAATAAGATAACGTGTCTAAGCGGGAGGGGAGGGAGGAAAAAAGATAATGTGTCTGAAGCGCTGGGGCCAGAGGAGAACTCTGAACATGTGGCTGGTAGTTCTTTCTAGAGCCGTTGGAAGGAAAGTGCTCTGAAGAAGGCAGCGTCTTTAGAGTGGGGTCACCTGAAGAGCGACTCTCAGGAGGCTGCGAGGGGCCACTGCCCCCCCGCTGTGCTGTGTTGGAAGGAAGGAGAGCCTTGGACTTTGGGGTCTCTGGGGCAGGATGGGTGGGCAGGCCGGGGTGGGCGGGGCCTGGGGGCTCTTGCTCCTTTTGTGGGGAAGGGCTGTGCTCAGGGCTCCTCTCTTTGGTTCCCTAGAGTTGAAGAGGACTTGGACCAGATTCTGAACCTGGGGGCTGAGCCCAAACCCAAGCCCCAGCCTAAGCCCAAGCCACCAGTGGCAGCTAAGCCAGTGCTACCCAGGAAACCAGCTGTTCCCCTCAAAGCAGGCCCGTCTGAAGCGGTGGCTGGGCAGCAGAAGCCACAGCAGCAGATCCAAGCCATGGATGAGATGGACATCTTGCAGTACATCCGGGACCACGACACACCTGCCCAGGCCGCCCCCAGCCTCTTCTGACCCACCGAGTGCTGGCCCTGGCCCAGCAGGCCCCCTGTGGAGGTGTGGGTGGGCAGGAGGGGGCACGGTGCCCTACAGGGCCAGGACCTCCATTCCCAAGGGAGGCAGGGTGGAACCCTGGGTCACGGGACCCACAGCTGCATTTTTTCCTTTTCTCCTGGGCTGTGGGGCAGAGTGGAACCCGCACAGGCTGCAAAGAGTGGAGGTCGTCTTAGGAATGAGAGCCCAAGTGTTCTCAGTCTCCGTGGATGTGGAGGGGAGAGAGTGTGGGGTGCCTTGCCAACAAGGAGCCCAGCCCCAAGGATGGGTAGGGGCCCCAGGGAGGTGTCACATGGGCAGGGAATCCTCGTGCCCTCTGACTCTGCCAGCCCCAGCACAGGAGGGAGGGCCTGGCTGGCCTGGGGTGAGGGGTGCCCATGACAGACCACCCCAGAGTCTCTGCAGGTGCTGAGCGGGTCTCCCCCAAGAGGGGTATCAAGCAGGAGGGCCCGTCCGTCTGGAGCGTTCTGACACGAGCCTGTCCTGAGCCTCCTCTGGTTACCAGCTCTAAGAGAAGTCAGGCCCAGCTCTGCCTCTCTGGGGTATGGAAGGCCCTGCCCTTTCCTTTCCCAGGAAAGGCCCTGCCAGCCATTGCCTCCTCGGGCCTCGGGGCACATAGCCCGCATCCACCATTGCAGCTCTCAGCAGGTGGGTCATAGCGCCCCTCAGCTCAGCCTGGGGTGTGGGCTGGGCTTCCAGCTGGTACCACCTCCTACCCCATGGGGGGCACGATGCTCTCAGGCTTATGCTCTGAGGCCCTCACTGTCCTCAGGGTCTAGACCTGATCTGTGGCCTTTCAGTAGCAGAGCCACCTTCCCAGGGAGCAGGAGCCATGTGTGCCAGGGCAGGGCCAGTGCCTTAGACATCTCCCGACTCCCAGAGCCCCCCTGGCACACAGGTCTGGGCACCATGAAGTGCTCAGGGAATTCTCTGCAGATGACTGATGTTTAATGGAGCAAAGAATGTCAGGAGGTCTGGATATGTCCTTCACTTTAGAGCTGGTTTTTAAAGAAATCAACCACTTTTGTTCCTTGGCCCCATCCTGCCTGGTAGAGGTATTGGAGGGACTGGGACCTCAGACCCTTTTCCGATGGACACCAAGAGCCAACCCTGGGGGACCCGGTTGACACTGTGGGTTTTTGTAACCGCCAGCATCTAGTCCCCCCAGCTCCTGCTCTGTGCCAGGACCTGTCTGCTCTGTCTTGCATCTTACCATGTCCCCCACCAGCTCCTAGTCCTGGACAGGCCCCTGCCCTCCCCTCCATCTGTGCCAGAATGAGAGGGAACAGTTGGTTCTGGGGCAAAGAGCTGAGTTCCTCCTCCTCCACCCTGGCCGGCCTTCATAGCTGCTGCCTGCTTCCCAGCCCCCAGCCCCGGGCCCTGCACCCTGTGCTGACGGCAGAGGGGGGCCTCAGGATGCGTGGCAAGGTGAGGGGCCGAGTCTCCCTTGGGCTCTTTCCCCTCCCCGCCGTCTCCTCTGCATCCGCCAGCTTTGGGTAACAGGGCAGAGGGCGCAGTAGGGCGGGTGGCCGTGGGGCGGGTCCTCTGGCTGGGATCCTAGCCTGCCACCCTGGTGTGGACTCAGCCCCTGGGGACCAGCCTCCCCCGTGGCCTGGAGTTCTCTGGACACTCAGTGGAGGTTGTGTTTCCCCAGATACTGATGCTCTAGTTGTGGCTCGTTTGAACTGCAGGTCTGTGATCTACTGGCCAATCAACCACAGTCGTCATCCAATAAAGCCTGTGTGCCTGCCTCATTCCGGCATTTGTTAGTGATGTTCTTTTCTGTGCCTGGACTGATGGGAGGCGATGGGGGACAGGGGGTGCAGGGGATTGTCCTTTGAAACGATGGATTCAACCCAGGCCTGTGGAGGATCTGCCCCAGCCACCCAGGCTGCTGCTGAGTGGGGTAGGGCAAGGGGAAAGAGGACTGTGAGTGTTCTTTCCCACTGTGTAAGCTGAGGCAGCGGGGCTGAAGACCCAGGCTCAGTGGGGTCATTGGGCCAGTAACTAACTGCTCAGCGAAGATCTGCGTGGAAAGAGGATCCCTTCCCTCTCCAGGCCTCGCCTCCTGTCTCCCTGCAGTGGGGACTGATCTAGGCTTGGACTGGCCCAAAGCCGTTTCAGCTCTGACACCAAGGGCCCTGCACATCTGTAACCAAGCCTGTCCTGCCTTCACACCTGCCAGGGGTCAGATTCCCAGGTGCTGCTTCAGCCCTGGGACGCAGAGATTCTGATGCAGACAGTTCTGCAAACTGACACCCACAAGAGAACTAGAAACTGCTTCCCAGGGAGCCAGGGCAGCCTCGCAGCCCTTCCCCCGTGACTTGGGTTTGGATCTCGTAGCCAAGATGGAATTCTCATCCTAGCTCCTGAGGACAGGCAGTCAGGCCATCCTGAGAAGGTCTGCTCAGCCCAAGGGCGTGCAGCTGAGAGTTTGCCATGGAGGGGAAACAGGTTTAATTTGGGACAGCAACTTCTGTTCATTTGGAAGCCTGTCGTGAGCCCAGGACAGGATGTGCCGTCTGTGGCTGGAGTCCCGCTGTTCCCTTCCTTTGGGTATTGTTCCTCTCAGGAAGCCATGAACTCTGGCTGTTTCTGCTGGAAATTCCCAGAACTAGAGCCTGTCCTGGCCAGGCCCATGTCATGGGCTCCACTGGAGAGCACCCACCGGTTGAGCTCTGGCATCCCGTGACTGTGTCCGTGCACCGTGTCTGCAACTCTGCTCACCCTGAGTGCTCAATGGGCTGCCCTGCAGCTTGAGCCCTCACTCCAGACGCAGGCAAGGCTGCAAAGCCCAGCCGCTCTCCGGGGCCCGGTGGTCTTACTGCCCAGCGGCCACCTGGGCATTGTGTCGACACTCTGCGGTGGATTTGACGCCTGCTGTCAGGCTGACATGGAGAGTCGTGCTCAGTTCTCTAGCTCGCCAGCTGTGCCGCTGGGCGAATCCTGGGGAAAAGAGGAGGGCAGGCTGGTTAGTGGCCCTGGCCGGATGGCAGGCACCCGCTGCTGGCAGCTTCCTGTGGCTTAACGGCTGCCCTGAGCAGGCACAGTCAACTCTCAGTGCCTCTTTGAGTGTTCGAGCTTTCGGTGTCAGGCTCCGGAGGGTTCTGTGCCCTGCGAACTCTGATGGCTTCAAAGCATTCCCTGCACAGGGCCCCAAGGCCTTGCAGCTGGGAAGCTGACCGAGGGGCCAGTGGGGAGTGGTCAGGACTGACCCTTGGGGTCTCACGTAGCCCACAGCAGCCTGCGAGGCAGTGTCCAGCCTCTGTCCACGTCAGCTAGGTGACATGTCCTCATCCTGCAGTGCTGAACGAAGAGACTTGCCTGGGGTCACTTTAAGGGGCCAGGAAGACTATAAAGTCCGATTTGTGCTTACAGGAGTGTCAGTGGACTGGTCACGCTAGCTCCTCACAAAGGCACCCCTGCCCAGGACTAGCTAACAGGAGGTGGCAGGCTGCTGGGCGGGCGGTCAGAAGGCCTGTGGACTTCAGCTCAGCGGAGCCTCCAGTCCCGGCACTGACCGTTGTCTGCCATGCCAGGCGTCGTGCTGCCCCCGTGGCTGGCCTCGAGCCCCTGTGTTCCAGGGCTCTGGCCACCGGGGAAAGCCAAGGGATTTCACTTCTCGGGCCATGCCTAGGATAAAGCCGCAGCTTCTGGAGTGGGATTATGGGCTCAGCACACGGCCTCGGTGAGCAGGATCGCTATTGACAACTTTCAGGGGCCTGATGCTTCTCTGCCAACTCAGCAAATCGCAGCTGCTGCTGAATGGCTTTGGAATAATGCTGGGTTAGCTTTCTCTAGCCCAGCTGGCCAATCACAGTCTGTTTCTCCATGCAGAGCTCATCCAGAAACATTAGCACTTAATGGGCACCTACTGTGTGCAGTACCTGTTCCAGGCAAGTTGGAAGAAGCACAGATGAAAAAATTTGAGCCATCGAAGCCAATTCTACCAGAAGCCATGCGGAGCCACTCGTTTCGGTTCTGTTCATTGGGCCTCCTGCCTGAACATCATAAACAGCTAAAAGAGGCACCTCCTTCTCCACGCGGCCCCTCTGCCTGTCATCCTTCCCTCTGCCACTTGCCAGCGTTTGTTGCCTGCAGCCTGGTCAGCTTTTGGTCACTCACTGCATCAGTTTGCCAGGGCGGCCATAACAAAGCAGCACAAACTGGGTGGCTTCAAACAACAGGCATTTATTCTTTTACAGTTCCCGGCGTCAGAAACCTAAAATCCGGGTGTTGTCAGGGCCGGGTCTCCGGAGGCTCTCGGGAGGGCCTCTGCTTCTTTCTGGCTTCCGGTGGTCCCTGCACTGCCCGGGGCTCGTTGGCTTAGAGCTGCATCGCTCTGATCTCTGCCTCTGTCTTCTGCGGCCTTTTCTCCCTGTGTTTCTGTCACATGGTGGTCTCCCCTCGTTTTTCTGTGTCTGTGTTCAAATTTCCCTCTTTTAAGAAAGAACATCAGTCACTGGCTTGGTGCCCACTGTAATCGAGTATGAACTCACTTTACCTTAATTACATCTGCAAAGACCCTGTTTCCAAATAAGCCGATCTTCACGGGGTCCAGGTAGACATGAATTTGAGGGAACACTGTTCAACCCAGTACCGTTACTTCCTGTCCTGAGCATTTGGCATTCAGGAGTAAACAGAGGCAGGCAGGGTCCCCTTCTGTCCTGCAAAGCATGGCCTCTGTGCTGTCCCCACCAGCTCTGTGTGTACTTCAGCAGTGACCTGTCATTTTCACAGCCTGTCTGGGGAGAGGACAAGTCGGGGAGGGATCTGGGTGGGAAGTGGCATTTATTGGACACCTACCGCATGCCACCATTACAGGGTCCTGTCATTTGCAGCTGCTGCCAGAAATGTCAGAACCTCTCAATCACAAGTTCCATGTCTTTATTAAATAATGAAATGACTCTAGAGCAACATGTGGCACAAACTGTAGAGTCAGTGCCACTCAAAGCTGTCCTAGCTGGCATCGGGGCAGCAGCGTCCCTCCCTCCCTTCCTACGGGCAGCACAGCTCTGGAGAGGGCCAGCACCTTCTGCTCAGTGGCCTGTCCTCATGGCTTTCCAGGCAGCTGGCTCCCAGGGCTCCCCTCCTGCCGTCACCTCATCATCCTCTCACCGGCCCTGCAAGGATGGGAAAGGCTCTGGGGAAGCTGGCAGCGGGACGGGCCCCAGGACATGAGAGCCGCCTGCGGACTCCCCTTCCTCTGCCTTCTCAGGCCGGTTTTCTTTGGAGAGATCACTTGCTGTCTCCACATGTGTTTCTGTTTTTCCTTTTGGTTTAATAGTCATTTTGCTGATTTCCCCTAACAAGTGCTCTCGGACCCAGGGTTTTTTGGTGGTTTTTTTGTTTGTTTGTTTGTTTTAAGATTAGAAAGTAGAACAAAGCTGGTGTTTTGTCACCTGTTTCTCAGACCATCAGAAGCAGCAGAGAGGCTGAGCTTGATCCAGTGTCCACCCTTGAGGGCTGCAGTTTACTACCCAGGCTGGCCCTGGGACTCTAATTAGGCTCCGTCTGCCTGTGGGGGTGGCTCTAGGATTCGAACCTGGGCCTTGCAGACTGTAAAATCCATGGGCATGGGAACGGAAAATAGTACAGCACTTTGGGAAATACATTTAGCAGTTTTAAAAACAACTGAACATAAATTTTTATCACATGACTCAGCAATTTCACTCCTAGGCATATACCCAAAGAGAAAGGGAAATACTAATATATGTCCACACAAAGGATTGTATGCAGATATTCATAGCAGCTTTACTGAGCATAGCCTCAAAGTGGAAACAACAAAACGTCCACCCGCTGATGCATAGATAAATGTGGTATATCCATACGATGGAATATTACTCGGCTACATAAAGGAACGAGGGAGTGGTATGTGCTACAATGCGGATCAAGCTCAAAAAAACGTCGTTAAGTGAAAGAAATTAGACTCAAAAGGCTGAGTTTGGTGGCTCACACCTGTAGTCCCAGCACTTTGGGAGGCTGAGGCAGGAGGATCACTTGAGCCCTGGAGTTCAAGACCAGCCTGGGCAACATAGTGAGACCCCCACCTCTACAAAAAAGAAAAAAATTTTTTTAAATAAAAATAGACTCAAAAGACCACATATTGTATGATTCTATTTATATGAAATTTCCAGGGCAGATCTACAGAGATGAAAGTAGATGAGCAGTTGCCTCAGGCTAGGGTTGGAACCAGCAGTAACTGCAAATGGGCACAAAGTATCTTTCCTGGGGTGAGATAAATGCTCTAAAATTGGATTGTTGTGCTGGTTGCACAAGGCTGTAACTTTACTAAAGTCATTTAATTGTATGCTTAGAATGGGTGCTTTTTATGGTATATAAAACATACTTCAACAAAACTTTTGAAAAATTTAATGACTGGATAAAGAAAGAGACAAATCCATGGACAGCAGAGTGCAGTGGCTAAAAATGTGGACCAGCTCCTGGCTCTCCTGTCTCCTGTCTGTGTGACCCTGGTCCAGTTGCTTAACCTCTCTGTGCCTGGATTTCCTCACCTGTAAAATGGGGATAATAGTTGTACCTGCCTTATCAGGGTAGTTGTAAGGTTAAATGAGTTAATATTTGTAAAGGGCTTTGATCAGTACCTGGTGCATAGTGCACATTATATGTGAATAATTAAAATTCTGTTGAGTTGTTGATTGCCTATTGTGCTATAAGGAATCTCAGGGTTAAGCACTCCCTCTCTCCACCCTAGTGAGGCCCAGGCATCGGGTGGGGAGGGAA